TGTAGTTTTTTTCTGGTTTTACTTATAGCTAACAGGGATCTCTGCTTGCATATTTATTATATCATTTCTTTGGATAATTCATTTAAAGTTTCATGATTTGTTTTTAAAATAGATTAACAAGTAGTTCATCTTAAAACATAGACACACATAAGCAAGTATAGTAAAATGTTAGCAGCTGTTGAATAGTTTTTTTGTTTTGTGCTTTTTTCTTTGGAAAATGTTTTAATACAAAGATGAAGTAAAAATGGAGATGAGAAAAAACTGAAATGTAGTCTAAAATGGAAGAATCATTATGATAGAAGGAAAGCCGTTAAAACATGGCATCTTGATATCCAAGGGGGAAAATGTTTCTAGGAGGGGAAAGTGATTGTGTCACACAGAGAAGAACTAAAAGCTGAACACTAAAGCATTGGTTCATTTGGAGGCCACTGAAGTCTTGCAAAGAACAGTTTCGATGGAATACTGGGGATAAAGAAAGTCATTGGCACATTCCTTATCTTTATTTTTATCTTTTTAATATCTTATTTTTCTCTTTCTCTTTATTCTGAGAATCTTCTGAGAACATCAGAACAAGAATTAGATTATATAGCCAGTTCTCAGTAGTTTGCATACTTGTTAAGACAAGTAAAAAACTTGAGAAACTCAAGGATTAAGTAGGGTTGAGTTTCTTTTCTGTCTTTGCTTTTAGGAAGGAGAAATAACCTATGTTGGTGGTTAAACTTATGATAACAAAGGAAGAAACATGAAGTTGTCAGACAGTATGTTTGAGTTGGGAGCTGTTGGAATCTAAACAGAAATGGAATTATGAAGAGACAATTTATTAATAGTAATGAGAAAAAGAACTAACACATGAATATAAACCTAATTTAGGTAATTTGTCTCATAGAAGCTATGAAAATTATCTTTCTGATTAGTTCATTTGGTTTTTTTTGTGAAGATATCAGCAGTAAATGGTTGTGAGAGGAAATTTGACAAATAATGGAAGGTATAAATTATGTGGGAAAGTAAAGGAGTAAATTATCTAAGCATATCTAATGTAGTGGGTGGGTAGTAGTATTTAGTGTTCTTTTGTGCTAACTGATGCTGACATTAAGGTTAATTTTAAGTGATCATGATTTTATAGGTCTGCATTCTTGCATTTGTTTCCCCAGCTGTGTCTGAATGCATAGGAAAGGATTGGAGTGGATTTAATTGAGTTTTGAAAATGTGCACAAGGGAATGCCTGTCGGATGTGCATGGAGCAGTTTATGATAGTTGTAAATATTGGCTTTCCGCTTAGAAGGAAGGACAAAACTAGAGAAAAGAATTTTGGGAAAGAATTGTGAAAAGACTGAATTGGGAGGGTGCTCTTGCATTCAGGGGGAGAGAGAGGATCAAGACCTTAGGGGATATTTTCAACAGAAGATGATCTGATCAAAACAAAACAGAACTCTAGGAGTAGGGTAAAATTTTGTCTCTGAAAAGTTTGGAATTCCAAACAAAGTTTTTCATTTGTTTCCCAGCCCTTAATAAACATAAGTGAAAGTGAAAGTTGTGTATTTGTTTGCTTAATTGTATTAGTTGTAATATATATGCAGCTGTATGGCATCACACTCATACTTTGATTTACTAGATTTTAATTTTATGCTGCTGAAGACTTTTGATTTTAATTGATTTTATCAAAATATTGTCACAAAGAGTTGTTGGTAGAATGTTAATGCCTGGGTGCCATGCCAAGACTATTACCGATATTGAAGAAATGAAGTACCTTGTTAATATAGTCAGTAATTTCAGCTAAAATTGCTGTGTTGTTAGCAATATTAAAAATGCCATATTATCAAGTTTAGAATAAATTAAGTCCTATTCTTCTGCTCTTTTCTGAACATATTCCTCTGTAGACTGTTGTAGTTTACTGCTAGGTGATAACACTTCTCCTGACAAACAAAATTACATGAAATGTGTGATAAGAGGTTTAGCTTAGAGGCTTCATGGTAAATTATGAAATATTTAAGGAGATATTTTTATATTACTGCATGAATTCTGCATTTTAGTTAAAAGTATAGAAGATAATTTTAATCATTGAAAATGTTCATTTAGAAATATTTATAGGTTTTCTTAAAAAGGCAGTACATTGAATTAGACAAAACGGTCATAATTCAAAATGATCTCCCCCCCCATCTATATGAATTACTTCAAATGGTGGTAGTTTTTACTTTCTATGATAGTTTTTATTTACTGCCTTATTTGAGTTGATTATAGATTAGAGCTTAATACCTGATTAGGGATTATAAAGTGAATATGGTATGTTACTATAACCTACTTTAAAATCCAGTACTGGTATACGGTACTAATTCAGGATTGGATTTTGTAGAAGTACAGCAGTAAGGGAAATTCCTTTGATCTAAGAAAATGAAAGCTCTAATTTAACAGTTGGATTTATTGTTTTAATATTCCAAACTCAAAAGGAAGTAATTCACCTACATTTCTTTACATAATATTTACAGTTTTAATTCAACTTCAGCGGCCCTAGTTGAATCTGGCTATATTGAAATTGGCTATATTGATGTTGATAAATATTAGAAATAAGTAATCTGAGGGAAAAAGTTAATTTTATTAGTGAATTTGACTTGAGGTCTAAAGTAAATTAGCACGGAGTGTAATTCTGTATTCCTCATTTAGGCTATATACTTTATCTTTACATTATTATCATTAAGAAAATTTGGGAACCACATTGGAACATAGAGCACCTTCTTTTTTTGTCTAAGTATATACCAATGAGCTATTGTATTTGAAGTATCTAAAACATCTTACTAGAACCAATACGGAGTATTTCTGAAAATATTGTTTTGAGACCTACACTCTCAATGTTCACTTATACTTTAAAATTATACATTTGGGGAATATGTGCATATTTTTATATTTTATTAATTTATCGGGCTGAAGGTATAGCACAGCGTGTAGAGCGTTTGCCTTGCACACGGCTGACCTGGGTTCAATTCCTCTGTCCCTCTCAGAGAGCCGAGCAAGCTACTCAGAGTATCCTGTCCACAGGCAGAACTTGGCAAGCTCCCCGTGGCGTATTTGAGATGCCAAAAACAGTAACAAGTCTCACAATGGAGGCATTACTTATTGAGCAAATCTATGAACAACGGGAGGACAGTGCTACAGTGCTATTAAATTTGTCACCCCCCCACCCCCTTCCCCCTTGGCCAAGGAGTTCTCTGGGAGCCTAGGGCACTCTTGTGGTGATTGGTTAGACTCAGTGCTGCTTGAGCCTTGTGATGCCAGGGATTTCCCACACTACCCCAGTGATGCTCAGGGAAACTCTAAGACTATACTTAGCAGTTTGGTAGGTGGTCGTGGAACCACGTGGTACTCGGGATAGAACTACAATTGACTATATGGAAAGGTCTTAACCCCTGTGCTATCACCAGCCCTGGAATATATTTTTAGCACTGTAGCACTGTCTTTCCATTGTTCATCAGTTTGCTCGAGCGGGCACCATCGGAATCTATTTTTAAACAAAGTAAATCAAAGGAAGCAAATTCCACCCTTAATTTAAAAAATGTGAAAAATGTAATTATTTTAAATGATCAAAACTTCATAAAATATAATTTTAAACTATAATGTAGAACTGAATCCATTTTCTAGAAACAGTTGCTATATTAGTTGATTGTTATCTTACGGTTTCTCTGATAGAGAAGAATAGAGTGAATGTTTAAGTTGGGAGTCCCAAACCATGGTCTTCACTTCACTGAAGTGGCAGAGAAAGCTGATTATTTCTTTTTCAAAAAATGATACTAGTTATTATTCCTCAGACTTGTATTTCTCTATAAGCTGAGTGGTATATGATCTAGAAATTGGTTTCTCGAAAAAAAATCCTAACAATTATAATTGTAAAGAAGCTTTATAAAACTTACTGTAAGGTAAATTTATAATTAAAAATAACTTAGTAAATTTAGTGAATTCTTCATATTTACTGCATACTAAAGACAATACAGTTTATCTTCAGGTATCTTATTTTACTTGAATAAACTAGTACATCAGATATAGAAGAGCTTTATAGTCAGAGTGGGTATGTTTCTGCATAGTATTTTTGCCCCCAAATATTATTTACTTGTCGCTGTTGGAAAAATCTGAGATTCTCAATGCCCCACATACCCTTTGCAAACAGACAAATCTTGGGGCTTGAGTGATAGGTTAGAGTCTCAGCATCCCATAAGGGCTCCTGACCTTCAGAAATGATCCCTGAGCGTACACAGTCAGGAGTAAGCTCTGAGCACCTCTGGATGTACCACCCATCAGCCCTCCCCCCCAAAAAGAAAGTAAGAAATACATTTGATGTGTGCTGAAAGTAAACTATAGACTGAACATGATAGCCACTTAATACCTCTATTGCAAACCGCAACACTCAAAAGGAGAGAGAGAGAGCAAAAGGGAATTCGCCTGCCACAGAGGCGGGGGTGGGAGAGTGGGGCCCACAGAAATAGGGTTGGTTGTGGGAGAGATACTGGGGACATTGGTGGTGGAGAATGGGCACTGGTGGAGGGATGGGTACTCAATCATTATATGACTGAAATGTACGCACAAAAGTTTTTAAGTCTATACCTCACGGTGATACATTAAAAAATAAATAAAAAAATGCATCTTGAAGAGAAATTAATAGTAATAAAAAACAACTTAAGACAATTATTTGTCTCTTGACAATTCTTACCCAGGAGTTACTGAAAATAGCTTTTATAATTTTTGCGTAGTACTTTACTTTTTCATATTATTTCAGTTACTCAATAAGCATGTATTGAACACCTTGGGGGGAACACATTACATAGTATGTAAGCAAATTTTTAGGACTTAAGTGCTCTGGAGTAGAGAGGAAAAATGGGGTTTGTAGCGTTGAGAGTTGACTCAGATTTCAGTATTCTATAAGAAAATCAGAGAGACCATATTATTGGTACAATATAAGTAATAAAAATAAGTAATAAAAAATTATGGGAATAATTAACACAATATTTTTCTTGTAGCTGGAACAGTCAGATGATTTCAGTTCGTGAAGCCAAAGCCATTCCCAGACCTGATGGTATTGAATGGAGAAATAAATACATCTGTGTAGAAGGTAGTTTTCTATAATTCTCTGTATCATAGTTATTATCATGTAATGAGGGAATTACTTAAATGATTTCAGCCTATATTTCAATTAAAAGTAAAAATATTCTGAAATGATATGTAAGTTTTATAAATTTTTAACATTCACTGTACTGGGAGGTGGCGGGGATTGAGAATCTTTGATTTTTCCAACAGTGACAAGTTCTGTAGTCGTCAGAAGTCATTCATGCTGAGTGAAATGAGATAGAGAGGAAAAAAACAGAATAATTGCACTCGTCTTTGGGGTATTTAAAAAAAAAAAAGAAAACCTACATAGTGTGTGATTAATACCCAAAGACAGTAGAAATAGGGGCCAGGAGGACTGATCCATGGTAGGAAGAGTGCCACAAAGGGGGAGGTGGGGTGCAGTTCGGACAGAGAAGGGACTACCATGGTAATGAGAGTTGGAAATGATCACTCATTAGGACAAAAACGGAATGCTGAAAGAGGTAAAATGCTATGTGTGATACCCTTTAAGTAACAATATTGTAAGGGGGTGGGGAGGGAGGAGAGAGAAGGGGTGTCTGCAGTAAAAGCAGGCTGCAGGCTTCTGAGGCAATCGGGAGGGAAACTGTTGGTGCATTGTTGAAGGGATGTAGATATTGGAACATTGTATTACTGAAACTCGGTCTTGAACAGCTTTGTTAACTGTATATCTCATGGTGATTCAATTTTAAAAATTAAAAAAAATCACTCAAATTTAGGTATTTGTCATTTAGTTGGGTTTGGTCATTTTTTTAAAATTGTATTCCTAATACTTATAGTTAATTGAAACATAGGTGAAAGGAAATAACTTTGTGTAATGAATCATGAAATGAGTTCTTATATATTTAAAATATTGATACTTAATGCATGATAGATTTTTATGGACTTACTATGCCTGCATAGGGCCAGAGTGATAGTACAGAGGAGAGGGTCTTAGGCCTTGCATACAGCTGACCCAGGTTCAGTTCACTGATATCCCATATAGTTCCTCAAGCCCTGCCAGGAGTATGACCTGAGTACAACCATGTGTGGCCCTAAAACCAAATCAGAACATCACTGTCATCCAGTTGTTCATCAACTTGCTCGAGCAGGCGCCAGTAATGTCTCCATTCACCCCAGCCCTGAGATTTTTAATAGCCTCTTCTCTCGTCCTTCCCAGCTCTGCCATATTGGAAGCTCTTTCAGGGTCAGGTGAATGAGGCCCATTATTGTTACTGTTTTTGGCATATTGACTATGCCATGGGGAGCTTGCCAGGCTCTGCCATGTGGGTGCAGGATACTCTTGGTAGCTTGCCAGGCTCTCCAGAGAGATGGAGGCTTTTGGGGCGATCTCTAATTGCTCCAGGAAATACTGGACAAATAACAAATAAAAATATATATATTTGTTTGGATCAAACAAATATATGTATACACACAGGTATATATACTTGTGCAGATGACTTTATTTTCAGTTGCCCGCCTGCTTGAAATCTCTCTTTATAGTCAGTATATCTCTCTATAAAGTTTTCTTCTCTATTCATCAATAAGCTATTTGGCTGGACCACATGACAGTCAAATATCAGTTTTATGTAGTTTACTAAATAAACTGAAGAGCTAATTTTAATAATTTTTATGTGTGTTATATAACATTGTAGAACCTTTTGATGGAACAAATACAGCCAGAGCTGTGCATGAAAAGCAGAAGTTTGACATGATCAAGGATCAGTTTTTAAAGGTAAACAACGCATCAGATTAACTGTAGAAATATTAGTGAACTAATCTGTTTTAAAAATGAAAAAGTTGGGGACTGGAGCACTAGTACAGTGGGTAGGGCATTTGCCTTGCATGCAGCTGACCCAGTTTTGATTCCTGGCGCCCCATATGATCTCCCAAGCCCACCAGGAATAATTGCTGAGTGGAGAGCCAGGAGCCCCTGAGCACTGCCAGGTGTGCTCTCACCACAAAATAAATGTGAAAGAATTTACTAGGACAGAATACCGTGGCTCCTGTGTTGTGAAGCCATTAATGTGTCACAAGGAATTTATTATTTGATGTTAAGATAAACTTTTTCCACAGAGAGTTTTTGCTCTGTTTTCATTAATATGGCATTTGATCCTGATTAATAAACATTTTCATACTGATTTTTTTTTAAACTAATAAAATGGATGGATAAAATCTAATGGATTCTTTCACCTCCTTAAAATACCGAATTTAGGGGCCAGGATGATAGGTGGGTAGGTCATTTGCCTTGCATGAGATTGACTGGGGTTTGATCCCCGAAATCCCATATGGTCACTGAAGCACCGCCAGGAGTAATCCCTGAGTGCAAATCCAGGATTAAGCCCTGCACATAACCAGGCGTGACCCTGAAAGCCAATAAATAAATAAAAGTAAAAAAGTAAAGTAAAGGCCCTCCCATTGATCATCGATTTGCTCGAGTGTGCCCAGTAACGTCTCCATTGGAGACTTTGTTGTTACTGTGTCTGGCATATCGAATACTCTCGGTAGCTTGCCGCTCTCTCCGAGAGGGGCGGAGGAATCGAACTCGGGTTGGCCATGTTGGCTGCGTGCAAGGCAAACGCCCTACCGCTATGCTATCGCTCCCGAAATTTATTGTAGTCTTAGAAAAAGCTGTTGTCTCTTCCATGATTTCCCCCCCACCCTGCATTTGCTGTCAAACAACTCTAGAGCACAACTTTATCTTTGTTTATATTTTTAAAGGTTGAAAAAATGTTTTTATGTGTGTAAGGTCATATATATATATGTATATTATATATAAACTGTAACTTATTCCTTGTATTTCTGAAGTACTCTAGCATAAGTGTATTCACCCATGGTTGTCCAATGTAAAGAATTTCTTACTACAGTGTAGAAATATATTTCTAGAAATATATTTCTAGAAATATGTATTATGAGGTGTGTAGGAGAGTGTGCTTCATAGAAGGAAAAGATGGGAAAATAGAAATTTTCAAGACAGATGTTTTCATTATCTAGTTATACAAGCATATTTCATTTTAATGATAATTAAAATGCAAGTGTAGGGCTAGAGAGATAGCAGAGTGAACACTGTGGCTTGTACATGGCTGACCTGGGTTTGATCTGTGATACCCTGTATGGTTCCCTGAGCACAGAGACAGTAGTAAGCCCTGAGCACTGTTGTGTGTGGACCAAACCCTGTTGGTTGTTCTAGAAAAAAACAAGTGTATCATATTACAAGTTGTCCTTCAAATTCTGCCCTCTTAACTTACCAGCCAGAACAGAAAATTGAAATGAAAGTAAAATATTGAATAAATGAAGCTATTTTATTCAGGAGAAAATAATTGAACAGAAAGTTCAATTAAGAATTCAAAAATAGCATTGTTGTGTTGTTACCAATATGTGAGCTTTTCTGAAAATTGTTTAATCATAAAGCCAATACTTGTAAGTCAATTGAACATTGAAGAGAAAACAAACTACAGAGACCTATAGCCATCAAATAGTGAACCTCATTTTTCAGCGTATGTACAAGAATGTTAGTTTTTTTCTTAATCTTTTCTAGAAGAATACATAAAGTGATTTAATATATATCTCTGCTCTCCTTTGTAAATGTTATTTTTAGTTAAAAAATCCAGTAATGATGCAAAATATCAAATAAAGTTACCTTTCCATACTCTCTTAAATCCAAAGGTTTTGTTTTAATTATGCCATATTATTCTAGAAAAAAATATTTAAAACTGCATAAGCATTAATATTTTCATTTGTAACTTTTTATATAGCCAGTGTGCTCATTTTTTTATTAATGGTTGCAATACATGGAAAGGATTTTTCAGTAAGTTTCTCTGGTGACAGAAATAAATACTTAAACTTTATTTAAGAATTAGGTGATAACAAAATAGTACCATCAGTAAAAAAAACAAACCACTATTAACACTCAGTAATTCGCGTTTTTTGTTTGCATATATTATAGGTTTTAAGAATAACTTTTCTTTCTCTCCCAGTCATGGCACAGATTGAAGAACAAAAGAGATTTGAACAGTATACTACCATTAAGAACTGCTATCCTGAAAAGATAATTGACCTCTCTTTCTTAATAAATTCTTCTGAGAAATAAAGAACAAAAGTAACAGCATAATACATTTTATTTACCTCCATCATGATTTCTTTTTGATTGTTCTTGCTTTCATGTTTTGTTTTTTAAAGGACATACTATATAAAGATTGCATATTTTATTATGACATTTCCTAATAAAACCCTTTGATTTAAAGGTGTATTTTTGAAAAATTTGCATTGATGATTAGTAATATTATGGCATAAATTTTCAGAAGATCAGATAAAATATTTTTGGGAGAATTATCTGAACAATAAAGGTTTTGATATAACTTCAATTAATTATTCCACATCCTAATACTGAGGGTTGTAGAATTTTGGAAAGGGTCTGATTCATACATTGTTAAAAGTATAATCTCTAATAGATAATGTGTTGCCTAAGTCTATTCTGGTAAAGTGAAGATTCAATCCAGTTATTCAGTAACTTAAGCAAAATGAGATTTTGTTTCAGTAAAATCCCTGCAGAGGCATGAAATACTGGACAGTTGCCTTAATCTTGATTCACTAGGATACACGAAGGCTTTGGCAGTATTAGCATTTCACTAGTACTTCAGATGAAGTATTCTTGAGATTGCTTTAAAATTTGTGTTGAAATAATAACAGTACATTTTGCACCGTAATAGAGCACTGACCATACAGGAGTTACTGAATTAAAAAATCAGTTTGGAGTAGACAGAGGAAAAAGATTATGTCCCTATGTTTTTTTTTTAATAGTTTAGTGCCTTGTGCACTTATGCTCTACTTTTTAGATGTCCTGATTTTAGTTTCCCTGTCACATGAAGCAGCAGAAACAGAAAGATCAAAGTTAAGATTACATCCTATTGATGCATCAGCTTTTTTTTCAGTGTACAATTTATAGGATTTAATCTAAACTGGAATTTTTAGGCAGTAAGCCGCTATAAAATGTTTTAGATGAGGCAGAACAAAATTATTATACATAAAAGCTTTATGTTTGTAAAGGTCTTTTTTTAGTATTTCTTTTTCACTTAAAGTAGTAGTGATTGCTCCCAAGCTACAGTGTTTATTAAGGTTATTTTTTGATTTATGTAAATATTTGTAAATTGGTCAATGCTTGTAAATTTAAATGTTAAAAGTAACCTTGAAGACAGTTTAATTTTTTCAAAAGGACTATGTAAAAATTCTTTTAAACCTGCTGTAGCACAGTTTGTACCTCTAATGTATATGGTTCTTTTGCAGACCAATTCAAATGGCTAAGACTTTCGCTTTTCTTTGACTTGTAAAAGGTGCATATTTTCATTTTCTTCTTTAAGTTTTAATTTTTGTATGATGTCAAATGGAATAAAGTTTATATATGGAAATTGTTGGTGTATTTTTTTTCTTTTTTTGGTGAAAGTGTCTACCTTTGAAGTAAGTTATCGTAATCATCTAGAACTGAACTATTCACTTATTGTGCTTGATTTATATTGATTATACAGAAAATCTTGGGATCAGGTTCCTTAATAGTCATGTCCAATTCTAAATCAAATAGTCTGAAGTTTAAAATCTTAAACTTCATATACTTATGAAATCCAAATATTTCAGGTAAGTGGGCTGTTATATATGAGAGAATTTTGTAGACTTAAATGATTTACAATATGAATTATATGTGATAAATTCTGACTTTTTTCTGTTTGTGTTGACCAGAACATCCTATACATTTACATGTACTATTAAAAAGGAAGTATCAAAGAGTTTAAAATGTGTATTGTAGTTCTAAATTTTAGATTGGACTAGGATATTTTGAACCATTTTGCAAAGGCAAATATATTTTGTTCACTTTGTATTCCTAAGAATTGGGACACCTCAGAGGACTGGACAGCTTACCTTGCATGCACAATCCCTGAGCTGATTTCTGGTATCACATGGACTCCAAGAGCACTGCTAGGTATAGCCCTGGTATAGCCCATAATTTCTCTGCTGGGCCTGCCTCATCACTATTCCCAAACTTCGGCCATTGGGTCTGCACTGCTGGGACACACCCTCCCCCAACATAGAATTTTTTAAAAAGGGAAGAATATGGAATACACTTCTGTAGTTTGATTAGTATTTTAGATTCTTGTAGCTATGAGTTGTTTATTGTAGGTTGGCAATCGTTTAGAAAGGCCTTACTTCTATTAAGAGCATGGTAAATTGAGGCAAGACAGGCTTTCTTTTCTTCCATTCTCAGACCCATCAGTTGATGCTTCTGTACTGTAGCTGAACCATATGCAGTTTTATACCCACAGACTTAATACGCGTGTGTGTATACCTATATAGCTGGTGAATTCTGCCTTAGATTGATACTTAATAACTGAATAGATTTTGTTATAACCACAAGTAAACATTACTTTTAGCCATAAACTCATTTTAAGATTTTTTAAAAAAAAATACAGAGATAGCTTTTGCTGGGTTAGGGAGAGCCTGGGACTCCTTACTAGAAATTCTCTGCCTACTGACCATTGATTGACTCAATGCTGGGCCCGAGGATGCAATATTGTTTCAGCCCAATGTGCTAGGCCATCCCCAGTGTTCAGGGGGTCTCCAGGACCCACACCTAGAAATGCTCAGTGATTAGGTAGTGCTAGGGAATTAAAAAAAGATTGGCCAGGTGAAGAGCAAGCACTTTAACCCATGCTATGTCTCTGCCCCATGTTGTATAGATGCCTTTACCTCTTATACATATTCAGCCAGTTATGGCCCTATTCACTTCAGAGAAAATATCATCAGAAGTCTACTATGTGACACTAAATTCACTTCTAAGTTTAGAAGATATAGGGAATGGTGAGATAAATGTTAAATTTACAGTTTTCTTGAGGAAAGAAAACTATTGGGAACCTGAAGAGGTTGCTGAGCTGGCCATAAACTGAGGGTTTTTAGATCAGGTATCACTGTATGACTGTTATCCTATTGTTCATTGATTGCCTCGAGCAGGCCCCAGTAACGTCTCCTTCATCCTAGCCCTGAGATTTTAAAAAGTGCCATATTCGAGGCTCTTTCAGGGTGAGAAGAATAAGACCCATCATTGTTAGACTGGTTTTTGGCATATGGAATACGCCACAGGGAGATTGCCAGACTCTGCCGTGTGTGTGGGCAGGATATTCTTGGTAGCCTGCCAGGTAGGCTCTCCAGAGTAAGAACTAGATAATATAATGTTGCTCCAGGAGCAAGGTTTTATAGTCTTTGGGTCTTGGCCATTGATGGGATTACACGTGTGTGTGGGGGGTGGGGGGGTTGGCAGTTGGCGGGTGTAACACCTACATACTGAAGATGGGGGATCTGGGTGGAGGAGGCCCCAGTCCCAATCCAAGCGGGCTTGGAGATCAGGTAAATCTGGCAAATAAGGGTGTGAAGAACTTTTCAGGCAGAAGAAACTTTGTGAATAGAAGCCTGAGTGTGAGACTTGCTTCTGTGTCCAAATTTCTGTCATCTAAAGAGACCAGAGAACTGTAAGGTGTGGGGTATTAGGCAGGGTATCTTAAAGAACTTGGGCATTGGAGAAAGCTTTGAGGGTTTTTAAACCTGAGTGTGACAAAAGACCAGAGGCGTTTGGATTGAGTGGCCAGTGTGGGGAAAAGACTCAAAGGTTTTAAGATTATTGTAGCGATAAGAAGCTTTGTGGCAGAAAAATCTAGGCCTATGGAGGAAGAGTGTGTTGACTTGCAAATGCCAAAGAAACAAACACTGGATTTAAAAGAGCTTTTGTAGTGGCACACTTTGTTTCTAAATGAGTCACTTTAGTAGCTCTGAGAACTTAAAACTAGATCCCCAAGCTCTTCGGAGCCCCGTTTTCCTCATTTGTAGGTCAAACAGCAAGCAGAGTTGTGAGGGTAGTAAAAGTGAGTCCCAGGGCCTGAATTAAAGCCGCTCTGCTCAGGAACTAGCTGCTGAAAACCTGCAGCCCCACTCTGGAGAGAAGCCGAGTTGGGTGCCCCGGGGTGGAGATGGAGAGCGATGATTTGGGGGCGCCCCCCCCCCCCCGCGGGCCGCGCGCTCTCCAGTTGTCCAGGGGACCGGGCCCAACGGGGCGGGTGGAGGGGACTTGGCAGGCGTGCGGGGCAGAGGCGAGGCCGAGCCTGGGCCCGGCAGCGGGGTGGCGAAACTTCTCGGACGCCTTCTATTTAAAGTCGCGGGAACCCGAGCCGCCGGCGGGGCAGGGCAGGGCAGGGCAGGGCAGGGCAGGGCAGGGGCGCGCGGGGGCCGCGGCGCGTCAGTCGGAGGGAGACCAGCAGGCGCGGCGCGGGCGGCTCCGGCCCGGGACAGGCGCGATGGCCAGCAGCGACAGCAACCACGCCGTGGAGACCTTCCTCGGCTCCGAGGAGGACGAGGAGGCGGCCCCGGGCCTGGAGACCGAGGAGGAGTCGGAGGGCGAGGAGGACGAGTCAGTCGCGGAGTCCGAGGAGGAGCCGGACGCCAGGTAGCGGGGCCGGGGCTGGCGGGACTGGGCAGCGCCTTTCTGGCGCGTGTCCCTCCAGCCGAGCACTTTCGAGAAGCTGCTGGCCCGCTCAAGAAACTGAAGTTGTGTGCGGGAGTGACCGGCCCGCCTGCAGCAGCAGAGTTTGTTCTCTCTTCCCCCCCCCACCCCCGCACCCACTTCCATCATCCCTTCTCCCTCCTCCTCCACCAGCCCAGCTCCTTGTGATTTGCTCTTGTTTATTCCTGGGGATTTACCTAAGGCTCAGTGTAACTGCGCAAATGTGCCGAAACTTGTGTTTGGTCCAAGTCGAAGGAACCCTCTGGAAAATCTGATCTGAGAAGTGGGTCAAGAGTTGGGGAGAACGGGAGGGCCAAAGAGATTGTGCAGTGGTTCGGTGCTTTGCGGCTTGTATGCGGTGACCGGGGTTCAGTCCCGGGTATCATATAGGATGCCGTACCCCAGCACCGCCAGGAGTGATTCCTGAACGCAGAGCCAGGGGTAAGCCCTGCATTGCTGTTTCTGACCCCAAACTACGAACAAAATGTTGGGCTGGAAGCTGAGAAGAATGGTCTGGAACCATCTAATGAATGGCGGTCTCCTGCTTGCCTGGCACGGGCTCAATTGCAATGAGGAGACATTATTTGGGTTCAGAGGTTTGTAAATTATTCAGGGGGGGAAATGATGAAGGGGCTTAACCAACCCCTATTCTTAAAATCCTCTTTCTTATAAATATCAGTGATTCCGTGAGTGTGAATACAGTCAGTAATACTGGATAAAATATGCGGCTTTCCCCTTCCCCCCCCTCCCTTGGAGGCCTGAAGTTGCAAATAGGAAGCATCTCCTATCTGTGTGGATTTGTTTTTGCTTCCACTTGTTCTCTTTTAAGTATGTGTGTGCGAATATGATGTCCTTTCTATTAATAAAAGTGTTGCCCAACTAAAGCCAGCAGAGCTGGTGTTGAAATGACCCACAGAGTAGCATGGACCAGGGGCCATGGCAGTCCAATATGAAGTCTGAAACAAGTGTCACTTATTTCCTGAGTAGTTTCCCAGTGAGAAGCAGAAATAATCTCCCTCCTCAACTTTTTGGAGAAAGTGAGCCATTGGGGAGCCACAGGGAGTCTGAACTGTGTCAAATAAATGGGAGGAGCCTTGAGAATGGACCCTGGTTACTACAGGTCAGAGGAGAGTATGTAGAATTTGCTTTGAGATGATGTGAACATGATTCAGGCCTTAGAAAAGAAACAGCAGCAAAGAGATCCTGGGGGAATGAAACAGACTCTCGGGCAACACTGAGAAGGAAAAAACTATCATTCCTTGACTTCTGAACCTTTTCCTTTTAATGATATCTGGAATGCTCATTTTTTTGGGGGGGGGTCACACCCAGCGTTGCACAGGGGTTACTCCTGGCTCATATACTCAGGAATTACTCCTGGCAGTGCTCGGGGTGTGTGTGTGGGGGGGAACCATATGGGATGCTGGGAATCGAAACGGGGTCGACTACATGCAAGGCAGACACCCTAGCCGCTGTACCATTGCTCCAGTCCTGGAATGCTCATATTCTTTTTGTTTGTTTGTTTGTTTATTTGGTACAAAGAGGCATCTCTGCAGGGGGAATGCTCATATTCTTCTTTTTTTTTTATTAGTGAAACACCATGAGGTAGTTATAGACTTATAAATTTTTGTGCTTGGGTTTCAGTTATACAATGATCAAGTACCCATCCCTCCACCAGTGCCCATCCTCCACCACCACGGGTCCCAGCATTCCCTCCCCATCCCCCCTCCCCCCCCCCCCCCCCCCCCCCGTCCCACCCTGCCTCTGTGGCAGGGGGAATGCTCATATTCTTGCCCAACGAAGTTTCACCTTCTTTTTTTTTTTTTTCCCTTTATTTTATTTTATTTTTTTTAAAGTTGTAGATTTACAATTTTTTGTGCTTTGGTTTCAATTATACAATGATCAGATACCCATCCCTCCACCAGTGCCCATTTTCCACCACCATGGATAATATCCCTCCCACCCCCATCCCCCCATCCCCCCGTCTCTGTGGCAGGGCAATCCCCTGTGTTCTCTCTCTCCTTTTGGGTGTTGTGGTCTGCAAAAGAGGCATTGAGTGGCAAACATGTTCAGTCCATAGTCTACTTTCGACATGCATCTCCCCTCCTGGGAGGATCCTCCAAACATCCTTTATTTGGTGCTCCCTTCTGAAGTTTCACCTTCTGATCTAAGTGATTCTAAGCACTACTTGGGCATTGTGCTACCCTTTAATAAAAGTCACGATGTGGTAAGATTTGGGGTAATAATAATAAGTGTCTGAGATTTGTGATGTGGCTAAGTGGTAGAGCATATACTTCATGGATTCACTACCCCCCCCCCCAAAAAAAAAGGTCTGCAGAAAATTTAGTCTGTCTACAGCATCATATTGTTTATTTTGTATTTGATATAACAAGAAGTCAGTAAACTACTGAACAGGATGTAGGAGAACAATCTGGGGTTATTGGAAAATTAGTTTAATGGGTGAATGAGAAGGCTGAGTTTGGTGGGGGCTTAGATCAACAAGACAGGAGTAGAGAAAAAGGGGTTCTCTAGGCATGAACAACTTCTGGGGGAGGGAAGAAAGGGGCGGTGGGAAAAGAAGCAGGAGCTGTGGCTGGAGGAAGGAATATGTAGCGGGGAGGGAATCCTCGGGGAACTTGGAGTCCCAGATACCCCAGAGTTTTTAAAGTGGTATTGTCAGAAATCAAACTTCTTGGTTGTCTGTGGGTTTATAAATAGGACCTAAAGATCTTTAGAATTCAGAGACTAAAAGTGAGAATTTGGGATGTTCTCTAATGGGTAGGAGGAGACAATGTCTCCACATTCTTCCAAACTTCCTTTGGGCTCTTTCACCAAAATGTTATAACCAGAAGAAAGTCTGTGTCCATACCAGTGTTTTGGAAATTTTCTCATTTTAAAACCTGCTAGCAACATTGTAACGTGACTGCCCTATTCAATGAGGAAACCAGTTTTAACTAATTTACTGAGGGCGGAGAGCTGGTAAATGTAAAATCCAAGATATGAGCCTGGGCACTTTTACCCCAAATTCTCGTTAGATTTTCTTCACTTCCCTGTTGAGGAGAAGCCCTCCTTTTTTTTTTTCTTTTTGGGTCACACCCGGTGATGCTCAGGGGTTACTCCTGGCTCATGCACTCAGGAATCACTCCTGGCGGTGCTCCGGGGACCATATGGGATGCTGGGAATCGAACCTGGGTCGGCCATGTTGGCTGCGTGCAAGGCAAACGCCCTACCCGCTGGGCTACCGCTCCAGCCCCGAGAAGCCCTTCTTGACACACAGAATGACACCCGCTAGCTGAAACTGTCTCCAGCTAGCCTCCAGCTAGGGGAAAGGAAAGATGTTTCTTTGAATAATAGAAGGTTACCCCTTCTTGAATGGAAAGACTATGCATTTTTCAAGGTCAGTCATTCTGAGAAGCTAAATTACAAATTGATTTTTGTTTTGCTTTATTGAATTTAGTTTTTGGGTCACACCCTGATGCTCAGTGCTTATTCCTGGCTCTGTGCTCAGGGATCTCTCTTGGCAGTGCTCAGGGAACTATATGCAGTCTCAGGGATTAGGAGGGGTTGTCTGCATGCAATGCCTTAAGCCCTGTACTACCTCTCTAGCCCTACAGATGGATTTTTTTAAAAAATAAGAGTCAACATAGAGGGAAAAAAATGGAATTAGCCAAAGTAACATAATAGGATGCTGATTACTGCTATTTAATGAAATGTTAAGAAGTCATTATTTAAATGCTAGTTATGAAGATTTCTAACTATATAAAGCACATTGTGTTAAAATTGATAAAAATTTTAACTGTATAATTCAGATGTTCTCACCATGAAGTAAAATATGTATTGCAAAAAGATTTTTTAGATGAATATAGGATAACAATAAACATTAAAAGGTTATATTAACCTTTATTCACTTAAAAGGTAAAAAGATTAATAGTGCTTACTTATAAGTGATGGGATAATGGTTGACTAAATCTTTTTCTTTATACTTTTTGGCTTTTCTGAAATCAATGTGTATTTTATTAGCAAAAAAAAAAAACTTTGCCTTTTTAAATTCAAAAGAAAAGGTGTTACCTGCTTGAAAATCTTTAACCTTTCAGGAATAATACATAGAATTATCTTCTAAATCAAGGAGAGCCCTCTAATTCTAAAACTGTTTCTTCAGTGCAGGAAACCTCCCTACTACCCATGCTAGTGCTTATATGGGATCAGAGCCCGTCTCTTCAGATAGATCTGTCACTCAGGGCTAGGGGTAGGATATATGACTTGAAGAGACAGAATGTCAATCTTGTTCGCTATGGGCATATTCCCTATATTCTCTGAGTCCCAATTATTATATCTGTATGATGATGGTATGTCCTCCCGTTATTCATCAATTTGCTCGAGCAGACCCAGTAACGTCTCCATTGGAGACTTTGTTGTTACTGTGTTTGGCATATCGAATACTCTCGGTAGCTTGCCGGGCTCTCCGAGAGGGGCGGAGGAATCGAACTCGGGTCGGCCATGTTGGCTGCGTGCAAGGCAAACGCCCTTCCGCTGTGCTATCGCTCCAGACCATAAATGATGGTATGATGGCGGTAATAATCAGGCTGGAGAGATAGTACAGAGGTTAAGACACTTGCCTTTCATGAGGCGAACCGTGGTTCAATCCCTGAAGCTAATATGGTACCTTAAGCGTGGCCAGAAAGGTCCCTGACCACATAGTCATGAAAAGTCCCTGAACATCACTGGGTTTGACTCAAACACCCACTCCCTACTCCCTGTCTCCCTCAAAAAGCCTCATTCATAAGGTTTGTTTTAGGAATAAGTTAACTGGATGAATATGTTTAAGAGTGCTTGGCCTTTACCAGGTTCAGCAAAGAAGTTCTAATTTCTTGCATTCCTTACGATAAATTGTTATGGATCTATTCCACTTTATTTGCTGTCTTTTAATTCTTCACTTACACATGCAG